TTACAACTGTGGTCGTCGAATGCCTAAAACTATATTTATAGATAGTTGCCGGCGATTTCAAAAGATCTGACGTCAGCTTCATTGCGAGCGTTGCGCTAAAGAACATAGCGCAACTTCCAAACATATTAGCTACAACACTCGACATGGTATTTGGTAACAATCCAAAATGTTTTCTGTTTGTAATCGGACCCCGCTTGGAAGCTCTGAACATGCCACCGTAAACTTTTATCCCGTTATCTATAGCAAGATTAACCATAAAGATCTCACTCATTGCAAAGATCGAAAGTTCCAGTGGAGACAATTCCTTCCCCAGAACATCCGGCGATTGCGTGAAACCATTGCGTCCATCGATTTTAGTTTATTTTACGGGACGGTGAGACTGAGACGGTACTTAAGAGCAAGTAGAAAGGCTTCTATACAACTCTATCGAATTACGAAAAATCAAAAACATCTAATTGCGAATCATCAGCGGTTGTGTCTGGTCAGTTAATCGTTTATCCTTGTTCGGTTAGGAATTCGTATTGGTGTCATCATTTCCGGGTATACGATGTCTTCTTTTGGCACTGTATGTGCATCGTTTCACAAAAGCACAGATTTCCGAAATAATCGTTGATACATGTTTTAACATACTTTACAGAATCGGCCTCTATTAATCCTTCTGGTAGTGTATTCCATAAGTTTACGACTCTTCGTTCGATACAAAGCCGATGTGATATCTTATTCATGCAGGGGACCCTGAGTTTGTAATAGTGTCCTCGGGTGTTACAGGGTTCCCGCAGGTAAGTGATTCAAGTGTAGTACTCGATGGGTCATAGTAAGGTCAATTCTTACTCGGCGGTAAGATAGTGTGTAGAGTCCGAACCTTTCACAAGGTTTTCCATGCCGGAGCTATCGTAGACTGGATATCATTCTAGTTGTGATATGCTGTATTTTCTCCAGCTTTTTAGTTTCCCACTGGGTTATCGGATGGTAAACTGGGGCACCGTATTCAAGGATTGGTCTAATGAGCGAGGTGAATAGACGAGGGACGGTTTCTTCGGACCATGTGGAGAAACTGCGTCTTAATGCCCAGAGCATACGAAGTCCCGCACGGTACAATTTCTCTGTATTTTCTAGTGAACTCATATCATGTCGCGAGAGCACTCCTAAGTCTCTGACAGATGTGTTGGGATGGAGCAACTGGCCGTCCAAGGTGTATGATCGAGTGGCTGGACGTCTGGTGATACTGATGAACTCCGCTTGCTTGCGTTAAGAGGGAGTTGCATTTCAGTGAATCACGTTGACAGTCGCTCTAAGTCATGCTGGAGACGAGTGCAGTTGTCCTGGTTCTCAATGATCCTCCAACTTTTCAAATCATCTGCATACAGGGCACATGGTGACTGGAGCTGCTGCGGAAGATCGTTGATATGAATAAGAAATAATATTGGCCCAATTACAGTTCCTTGAGGCACGCCACTGGTCGATGGAAGCCGGTCTGTCAGGTAGTCATTGGCCTGTACTCTAAAATTTCGTCCCACAATAAACTCGTGTAACCACTGAAGTAACTTGCCACCGATTCGGTATGTCCTCAGTTTAGGAAAGAGTACCTCGTGGTTCACTCTGTCAAACGCCTTACTAAAGTCGATGTCCATAACGTCAGCATCCTTCTGTTCATTAAGAGCTCATACCCACGGGTGGGTTGCGTACATCAGGTTGGTGATGCAGGATCGCCCTTTCGTAAATCCGTGTTGCGTTGGCCTCAATACGTCCATCGATTCGAAGAACGACAGCAGACACTTTTTCACAACCTTCTCTAGAACTTTGGGTAATATCGAAGTCCAACAGATCGGTCTATAGTTCTCTATTTTACTCGGATCACCACCCTTAGGAAGCGGTCTCACTATCGAGCATTTCCAGTCTGGGGACAGATCCTTCAGAGAGTGATTTATTGAATAGATTTGTCACGGCTGTTGAGATGATAATCGATAGGGACTTGAGTATTAGTGGGTGAAATCCGTCTGGCCCGGGGGGCTTTGCACCATCGAGGTTGCCGAGTAGCTGGTACACTTCGACTGCATCACATTGTAGGCTATCGAGCAGGACTGGCGCAACCTGTGCCGGTACTGGAACAGCCGCCGGTTTACTGGAAAATACGGTGAGGAAGTGCGTAGCCAAAGCGTCCCCGCTCCGCGCTTTGAATGAGCGTCTGTCCGTCCAAGCTCTCTAAGACTGGTAGGTCGCTCCCAGGTTTCAGTTGACTTTTCAAGTAGGCAAATATTCTTTTGGGTGCATTTGTGGCCGAGGATGCTAGGTCCTTTTCGAACTGCCGGCTTTTCTTGATCTTTGCGCCATTACATAAGTTATACTGTTTCTTGTACACCGTATAATCTTCATCACAACCTGAGCTGATGTATCTATCCCAAAGTTTGCGATGCCGTCGCACTTATCGATGTATTGTGATCAGTTAACCAGTTACTTAAACTGCATTGTCTAATTAAAACAATTTTTATCCGTGCCGATAGATTCTCGTCCAAACATCTCAAACGACTGCGTCTGCTTAAAAAAAGGCTTGTAAACGCAAAATTGTCACGTCATTAAAGTCTCTAATGAAAGATATAGAAATCAAACTTCGTCACCTCAACACTGTATAAGTTCAAACCATACTTGGAAACAATACTTTCTGTGCAATATGGAAAATGTTGAAATAATTAAACTGAGTCGCCCGCGAAGTCACGCACTCAATTCCGGATGAGGAAAAACTAACCCTGATTTTTTGTGACTAGGATACTACTGCATTCTTTGATATATCATCTGCTGGGTTACAGCTAGTCTCGGATAGCCCCCCCTCTGTGAACAGCCTAGAAGTACCTAAAGAATTAATTGGGTTGCAAGTGAACAAATAACCTGTCGTTCTCAAGTAGTGTGCAGATAAGCTGGCACAGCCTCTCGCCTACTTGTACACAATGTGCTTCAAGTAGCACAAGATAGTTGACAGTTGGTGAATCGCAGACATTACTTCAGTGCCAAAGAAAGGAACCTGCGAATATCCGTCGATTGCTTGCACGTTGATTGCTCTGAAGACCTTTTAGAGACTTATTGTTAAACGGATCTCAGCCCAGACCTATTTGGCTGACCCACATCAGTTTGCATATCGCAGTTCCAGGTCTACTTTAGATGCATTAGCATGTCTGCTACATATTTCATTCTCGTCACAGTAGTGAAAACGAACCCATCCTCATCTGCTTCCAGGATTTTAGCAACGCTTTCTGCTGTGTGAACTACTGTTGCATGATCTATTAGGTTCCGTCGCAACGAGACTGGACCTTAACGTGTACAAGGCCACAGTGTATACAAGGTCACAGTGAGGGCCGTTCTGCTCTATGGTAGTGAGACTTGGCCCCTTCGGTCTAAAGATCTGAGGCGCCTTCAAGTCTTTGATCATCGTTGTCTGCGAAGCATTGCTGGTGTCGGATGGCACCAGCGCGTCCGCAACGATGATGTGCGTAGGCGAGTACTAGGTAGTGATAATCATGCTAGCTCTCTAGAACAACAGATAGCACTGAATAAGTTGCGTTGGCTCGGGCACGTGCTACGTATACCTGGTCACCGCTTACCTAGGAGTCTGCCAGGTGGAGGGTGGCACAAGGTTCGAGGCGGACAGAAATTGACTTGGCAGCGGGAAATGAAGTCACTGATGACCAAACTGGGTGCCGTTGGTCCGTCTCGCCTTCCGGGCTGGAATCCACGTGATTCGCCTTGTGCTTGGCTCGAGACTTTACAGGACATGGCTCGCAGTAGACACCAGTGGCGCGTCTGCTGCCGTCTCCTAATTGGATTGCCTTTTTAACGTGTGTTTGGTGCTGAGTTGTCTGCGGGGTAGTGACTGATTGTGACGCGTGGCAGTGAAAGCCGCAAGGAAGCTGTCTCGCCGATGCCCCCTTATCTTTGCACGATGGCCAGCCGTTTGTGACGGTATGTTGACTACACAAGGTGAAGGCACCTTGACCCTGAATGTTTGCTTAGGGCATTAAGGTTTTCAGGTAAGTCCCTCTTATCTCCCTCTTGTTATTCTTCATTTCATAGGTCATTATGGTTGTATGACAGCGAAGCATCAGTTCAAATGCTTGATGTACTGCTGTTGATGATGATGATCCTACTGGTGCTTTTATTGCGGTTCTGAAAATGTGAGTCGTTGCAAATGGATTCACCACATTTCGGTGCTCAGATCATAGTTGATTAACTGAACTGAACTGTGTTTACTTGCGCTGACGGTATCAATTAAGTTACGCGCGAAATTTTTCGCTTATGCCCATACAGTTAGTGTTTCCGAGTTCGTAACCTTAAACGCATATTCAGTCCATTTAATCTCGATTATCCGCCCATTTTAAACACGGAACCCAGGTTGTCATTTTGTCCAATCATGGTATTTGATTCCATGTCTTAAAACTGTAGTACGATAGAAAGTTCCGCTTTTTATTCAACGGCATCAACAGCATCGACTTTTCAGTTTTTAGTCCTCATCTGCTTGAATGCAGGTTTCCATACCTGAGTTTATCTTTAAAGCACCTTTACTTTCAGACGAAATTTCGCGCTAATAATAACCCAGTTCGTTTCTTCCGTAATACATTGTGATCCACTTGCTTCATCTACTGGGTATACTAGTATTATTCAGTCGTTTATAACGGTATGTTGTTGCCAAGTTGTATAAGCCTTGTCGCTAAATATTTGCTTAGGGCATTAAGATTCTAGGCTAAGTTCCACTTCCATATCTCTTACTATTCTCCATTCATATGATCATCATGTTTCTACTCTAGCGAACAGCAGTTCAAATGGCTGATGTACTGTTGTGGATGATGAGGAGGTCATCCGGAGCCCGAACACAAGCTTCTATTTGGTTCTACACTTAGCGCGTGTAGCGATTATCATTTTCACCTGTGTTTCCGTATCCATGGTGTAAGGACCCATGCCAATTTTTGCGATTTCATAGCACTAACTGTTCCTTTTTCTGCTCAATTTTCCAGTTCGCTTTGCCCCTGCTGGCTACACTCCACCACTGTGCCATTCGATCTTGCTTCACCGTAGAACGTCTTCTGGTTCGAACTTTGAATTCCGTCTGCGCCACTTTGTGCTCCAATTCAACAATTCCCGAATCCACAGAAACAGTGCACTCCTCTCATTTCAGTGGACACGATGAGTTGCTTTACTTCAAGCGATGGTGTCTGGGCCTGCTTGATGGAAACCTTGTTCCTGCCCACAAGCGAAGCGAAGAGAACGATGATTTCACTAGTTCACCGAACCCAGTGGAGTGCACCAATAAATTCAATTTGACCGAGTTCGTTGATTGGTCGTGGCCTACTGAGACGAAGTGCAACCGCCTGTCTTCCGCCCCCGCGTCCTGCGAATACGGTGTAGTGGACAGGTCATCTACTATCGACTCGATTTTTGACTTACTTGCGCCGTTTGTTTTTCGCGAGGGTGATCTTGGGTGGCAAGCACGGGATGCGCTTTTACTCGCTGCGACCTACTCCTCTCGTGATGAAGAGTTCAGTTATGGTATGGCCAACCATTCTTCAGTTTGTCCGGTACGTAGTTCCGATTCACTAGCTATAAGCTTTTTTCCCCATTTTTCTGTATCAGACATCATCCTTCGCTTAGTTCTTAGAATAAACGTCTTTGGAATTTTGGGCAGAACGCCACTGCCTACCGATAAGTAGTGTCAGCCACACCGCTTTACAAAAGAGGCCGTATTTTCAAGCTGATTGGACGGATAGAGTATCTCGTTTGGCCTGCACCTTTCTTGTGTCCGGAGTCGAGGATATCACAACCGTGTCCAACATACATAGCTTGTCCAAAGAGGTTCAACGCTTGAGTCTGCCCAACATGAGAGTGGCCTAATTATCGGGCAAGCAGCGGTGCCAAAAGCTATCATGTATCGATCATCTGGTGTACGTATCGGATGGGCGCTTTATGGACGGTGCCTGACAACCACTCTTCATAGGTGAAGAGTTGAACAACCTCGCACGTTCCGCTGTCGTCACATTGCTTGATGTCGTGTAGTCGAATTTCGCAGCGTTCCCATGGTTACTGAAACTTCTTCTGTGAATCGTAAAATTGAACCTACAGTTATTATTTAATCACAAAACACCGCGATTCTCGCACTCACTTCTACTTGTCCGGGAGAAGGTGAGTATTGCTCGGAAAATCCATCATTTCAGCGATTAATCGATTGATAACCATTGTCGCATCGATTTCCAACGTTCTTGAATGTTCTAAGACCAGCACGTGACTATCAACCCCATTGCAGATCGACCAAATCTGCGTGGAACAATTAACCTTGGTAGCTGACCTTCTACCAAAGGTCATGAGGCCACCTATAAATATGACCATGGTTTACCGCCTTTGTACGGTTGCAGTTTGACTTCGCGTAACACGTTATGCTTGGACTAGGTCATTTTGACTTTTTCGTTTGGGTTTGACGTCGTGCTGAATGGGTTAAGTGCATGCTTCGGAATTGCAGCAAGTGGGAAGATTTAAGAAATAACGACAGACAAAACTGGAAATGTGATGCATTTTTCCGTTGAACAATTTCAGAAGCTGCTTTTGCAACATTCGGAAGCTCAACTGAAAATGATTAGAAATTTGACAAACTGCTTGACTTTGCAGTCTGCAGGAGCAGCAGCACGGGTCAGGCAGGCGACTTCTGTTGATCTTCTCACGAATGTGGTCAGTAAATTTAATTATGACGCAGATTCTGGTTGAAGAATGGTCCAAACACTGGAATGATGTGTTTTGTACGGGCTTCAGTCGTCGGGATGATTCGTGGAAAGTGCGTTTGTTACTCCGCAAGCTCGACGCGAGCGAACATTTAAGATTCACCGACCATATTCTGACTAAACAATCAAAGGACCTGACTTTCGACGAAGCGGTGTCACAGCTCAGTGCAATATTCGGTGAGTCAGCTTCTCTGTTCAGCATTCGTTGTAAATACCCAATGATTGTCAAACGGGAAATGGACGATTATGCGATGCTAGCAGACATGGTTAACCGCGAGTGTGAGCGTTTCAGGCTACGATCTTTGACGGACGACCAATTTAAGCGTCCTTTTCCTTAACGCTCTCCACTCCCCCTGTGATTCTGAGATCCGCACGAGGCTTCTTGCTAAGCTTGATCAATACCCAGATTTGACACTAAAGGCTCTTGTTGATGAATGCAAGCGATTGCTCACTTTGAAGCGCGACACCGCTCTGATAGAACAGTGTCACCCTGCACCATCCGATGCCGTTCACGCTATAAAAAGTGCTAGCTGAGGTAGACCGTCCAAGAGGGCTCTGAACAAGCCACCTACAGCCTGCTGTTTGTACGTCAAATGACGTTTTGCGCGCTTCTGTCCATTCTAACGTCACTTCTGCGAAAAGTTTCTTAAACGTGACCGTAACGAAGAATTCTGCAGCCAGGCCCGGCCGAAGAAAATGAAGAAATTCTCCCCTTCGAAAAACTCGAAGGCATGGTACAGAATCGCTTTCGGTAAGTACAGCATTTAAAAGGGAACCTAAGCTACGATGACGATTCATCATCGTGCTAATCAACGGTATCCGAACGAAGATACAATTTGACAATCATTTCCAGGAATACTTGGAATAACATAAAGAGGCCAACAACGATCAGGTCTCTCAGAATAGCCCACAACGCATCCTGAGGTGTGCTCAACCGGTTCACTGTAATTACTTGCACAATGGCATTCAACGGTGTGGAAAAAACTGGGACGGTTTACATGTCAGATAGGCCAAAGCTGAACCCTCTTGGGCTAGACTGGATTGAAAAGTTACAACTGCCCGATGTATCACTGAGTCAGATTTGCAGTAGAATTCGAGCGAATCCAGATGCATCAACAAAGTCGGTCAACGAGGTGACACGTCTGCTGAAACAAAAATTTGACCCTGTGTTTCAGGATGGCCTAGGCCATTGCGCCACATTCACAACGACGTTGTCTCTACAACCAGGAGCCAAGACAATCTTCAAAGCTAAATGACCGGTGCCGTATGCAGAGATGCCAATCGTTGATCAGGAGCTTGAGTGACTAGAACGAACCGGCGTCATCAAACCGGTAAACTACACCTCATGGGCCACATCCATTGCCACAGTATAGAAAGCGAATGGTAAAGTACGCGTCTGCGCAGATTTCACAACTGGTCTTAACGCTGGGATCGATGACCACCAATACCCATTGCCATTATCGGAAGACATTTTCGCAAAATTGAATGGTGGCGGGTGCTTTGCCTAGCTTGACTTGTCTGAAGCATTCCTTCAGTTAGATGTGCCGAGGGCTCAACAGAGTTATTGATGGTCAACACCCACCGTGGGCTGTACCAGTACAACCGCTTGTCTTTTGGCGTAAAAATGGCCCCAGCTATTTTTCAACAGCTGATGGATATCATGCTGGCAGAAGTTCCTGGAGCCGACGCATATCTGGATGACATCATCGTAATGGGCCGTACAGTTGGGGAATTATTTAACCGCTTGGATGAGGTCCTTGGTCGTGTCCAGTCGTATGGTTTCCGCATTCGTGAAGACAAATGTACTTTTTCACTCTGACCATCAAAACCTTGGTTTTATCATTTACAAGAATGGTCGTCAACCACATCCGGCAAACATCGTCGCCATAAGGCAGATACCTCCACCAACAGACGTTCAATTGCTGCGTTCATTCTGTGAACTCATCAGTCACTACAGTGTATTTTTGCCTGAGCTGCATCGCCTGCGTGCCTCGCTGAACAAGCTTCTGACCAATGACCACACCTGGAACTGGACGCGAGGGTGCCAGCATATCTTTGAACGAATCAAGTCATCACTGGCTTCAGACTTGTTGCCGACTCATTATGACCCAACTCAGAAGCTCCTTATTGCAACAGACGTATCTAATCACGGGATCGGAGAAGTTATTTCGCATTTGCGCCCGGATGGATCCCAGAAAGCGGTCCCTCACGCGGCCAGAACTTTGACAAAAGCCGATAGAAACTACAGCCAGATCGGAAAGGAAGCATTGGTCATAATCGTTGAAGTGAAGAAATTCCATAGGATGCTGTACGGCCGCCGATTCAAACTACTGACTGATCAAAAACCATTGCTGGCTCTCTTCAATTTGAAGAAGGGCATCCCTGTCTATACGGCCAACGGTGTCCAACGCTGCGCGCTCACTCTGCTGAGCTATGATTTTGAGATCAGCTACCAAAGAACCGCTTTCATAAGCCAAGCGGACGCACTGTCACGTCCCATAGACTCCCATCAGCAAGATGAAGAAGACAAAATCATAGCCGCAATTGAGCTTGAACCGGACGTCTGATTTATTGTGAGTGACGCATTACGTGATTTGCCAGTGATTGCATTAGCTGTACGAGGAGAAACGCTTCGTGACGCGGCACTCAAGGTGGTCGCACACTTCAACTGGACCAGTTGGCCACGCACATGTTCATCAGCCGAATTGCAGCAGTACTATCAAAGGAGGCATGCAATCTCCATCGTGGACGGCTGCATATTGTTCTCGGAACGAGTTGTCATCCCCAAGGCACTACAAAAGCTCGTACTTAGGCAGTTCCATGCAGGACATCCTGGGGTCAACCGGATGAAGGCGCTTGCCCGAAGCTTTGTGTACTGGCCATTCATGGACAGACAACTGGAAGAAATGACTAGAAGTTACCACAAGTGCGCTGCTGCTTCAAGGGCATCAGTAAAGACGGAATTCCATTCATGGCCGAAACCAACGCGACCATTTTGCCGCATCCACGTCGATTTCGCAGGACCAATAAATAGCCAACGTTTTCTCATTGCTGTTGACTCTTACACCAAATGGCCTGAAGTGTTTCTGATGGACAGCACATCGACCCAAGCAACCGTCACGGAACTACGGTAAATCTTCGCTGGATTCAATTGTCCAGAAACACTTGTAACTGATAAAAGCACACAGTTCACCTCAGCACTTTTCATGGAATTCTGCTGACAATGCGCCGTCCAGCATATCCCCTCACCGCCGTTTCACCCACAATCGAATGGCTAGCAAGAGAGATTCGTGGATATTTTCAAGCGGGCTCTCCTCAAAGCGAAGAGGGAAGGACGTATAGAGGATTCCTCTTCCTATACCGATCAACACCAAACCCACAAGTGCCGGGTGGAGTCTCACCACAACCGGCCATGATGAACAGAAAGCTGCGTATGCTACTTGATGCCATTCGACCAAGCTGGCTGTCCTCTGTTGGTGGAAGGAACCGCAAAATGGAACGAGAGTTTAATCGGTGGCATGGGGCCAAGCAACAATCGTTTATGCCAGGGCAGACGCTGCTCGTGTGGGACTATCAGGCAGGTCACGCAAGTTGGACACCTGTTACGATTAAAGGCAAGCGCGGGAATGTCATGTATGAAATGATCGTGGGAACGCAGACCTGGATTCACCACACAAACCGGCTACGGCCAACGCTGTGCCAACCAGAGGAAGTAAAGCCTGCCGAGCTTCCGTTTGACTTGTTGGTAAAGAGCTTCAACCTGCCAAAGGAGCCTATGGACGATGGCTGTCAGTCCAGCAACGAAAATG